CCAAGTCTCCCCATCCTGTAGCTTCTGCCAACCGCACAAACCTCTTTTATTGCCATTCCTGCATCATCACCCTCACCCCCACCCTGTCCCCTGGCAAAAATAATATGCCTCCTTTGTCATCATCTCTCGACGGAGAAGGCTGTTCCTATATTTATAGGCATGGGTTAACTGGGGAAAGGTTTCTGGATAGTGAGATTAATAATCACACCTCATTTGTTGGAAGTATAACCTGATATGTGCCAGAAGAATACCCAGCGCCCAGGGAGGCTTCAGTAAGTATTAGCATGCTGTTCTGGTGGCAGTGATGGTCCTGGTGTGTGAGATAGAACTGAAGGACTCCCAAATGGCAGGAACTGTGGGCAGGGGGAACCTAGCCTGGGCTGCAGAGAAAAGGCATCATTTCATAAGCCAATGAAAATTGCAAAGATAAAGTGATGTGGGTGGTTCCCAGCAAACCTCCCCTGGGGAGGAATCTGTTAAAGAATTGCCACCGTGGCCCTGAGAATAAAGATGATTATTGTGTGTCTGACACCCAGGGAACATATCATTTATATATTAATAGCGAAAATTCCTCTCAGTTGAAAGAGCGCTATTCGCGCTGTTCCGGGGGCCAGTGTAGAGCTGAAGTGAATGAGATGGTTCCTGAAATCAAGCTCTCTCTTCAGTACACAGAATCCGTGGTAACTTAAATCCCAGAGCCTTAGTTTCCCTATCTGTAAAATGGGCATAATGAGGACCCCCCACCCCATACACACCCTAGTTCCATAAATAAGTGATTAAAACACCTGAATTTCAGGACCTGGCACTTTAACTATCATTATTTTCTTAACTTATTTTTCATTGAAGTAGTGATACCAGCTCACAGAGGACATCGGTTAAATCAGAAATGACTTCCTTATTGTTTTGAAAAGACTGGGAACAAATAGTCTGTATTTCTACTATTTTTAATGGGTTGAATTATGAAACTAACTCTTGGTTCACCAAAAATTCAACACGAAAGGTGTGCCATGAAAAGAGAAGCTCTCCCCCACCCTTTTGAAAAAGATTCAAGGGCTTTTTATTGCATTTTATTTTTAGTTGTCATGATCACTGTAACTTCATCTGCCTCGGAGGCAGTCTAGTCTTATGCCACGGCCTTGCAACGAGACCAGTGGCTTCGAATCGTGATTCTGTTATTTATAAGCTATGTGGCCTTGGAAATGTTACTTAACCTCTCTGTGTCACCTTGAGTAAATGACTTAACCTCTCTATGCCTCGGTTAATGTGGCATTTCTTAGAGCAGTTCCCAGCCCACATTTCCATTATCCCATGCATAGTTTTCTCAGACACACAAAGATGTCTACGCAGGTAGCATTTGCAAGAAGTGTTTCCCAGACTGGAAACATGGAATCCCTGCTTGTTTCCCTTTTTTCTTTCCTCTTCCTGCTTCCGGCTTTCCTGAAGGCTCCTGGAATGGCTAGACACCCGGTAGAACAGGCCGGCAACCTTGCCTGCTTGGGAACAGGGACACTTCTGCAAATACTGGGGTGTGTGCATGGGGGGAAATGTCTGACTTTGAGATGCTGGCATCCAGGGAGCGTCCAGTAGAGCTGGATTGGTGGAGGGAGTAGGCAGTGAGGAAGGGGTGGCCTCGGGGACTGGGGGACACTGAGCGATGCCCAACTGGCTGTGCTCCTGCTGACACCTAGTGGGAAGATGGAATTATTGTCCTTCCCAGACAAGGCACTTCTCAGGTTGTAGCCTCCTCTCCCCGGGTACCTGCTGGACCTCAAACAGGCAAATGCAAGCTGAGAGAGGGAGCAACTGACTGGGCATCACACGTCTCGTTGGCTGCCCCAAGCAGATTTGAAGGACCCAAGAAATCATTTTAAATGAGGGTATTTTGGGGGGACAGGTAAGTGAGCTCTCAGGCCTTGAGGTGATTCTTGGGAGAGAGAACATGTTTTCTGAACTTCTCTCCCTCCACCAAAGAGCCCACCCATATTACTCCACCCTCACTCCCAGGTCTTTTCTCTTCCTCTGGCCATCTGTTCATTTGTTTCTAATTTCAACAGAAATGTTTCTGAGTCTATAGTGACATGTAGGGAAAAGAGTAGATTCAAACAGACAACAAGAAACCCTGCTATGGTGTTCGTACCCCAGTGGGGAAGTCAGAGGAGAAACAAGTAAACAGACCTACAAAATGGGATTATTTCAGGCACTAATAAGCCAATGAAAGAACATGGTAAAATGAAGGGAATGAATTTGTGGATGCCAAAGTGGAGGTGGGGAGGTGGGGGAAGGAAGTTTTAAAGTTAGCCAGGCTCAGGGAAGGCCCCTCTGAGGAGGTACATTGAAACCATGAATTATAAGAGAGGGAGAAAGCCCTGGAAATACCTGGGGGAAGCCAACAAGCACAACCAGTGCTAAGGTCCTGGGGCAGCACTGAACCTGTTGGAGGAACAGGAAGCCCGTGTGGCTGGAGCAGAGGGGGCAGGGAGGAGAGACGGAACAAGGGAAGGTAAGGAGTGGACGGGCAGGTCGTGGAGGGCCTGGTGGGCAGCGGGGAGAACTTGGGCTTTGAACAAGAAAGAGGTGCGAGTCCCGGAGCGCAGAGGACGGAGACCTGACTTAGGTGCTCACGGGCGCCCTCTGGCGTCGGATGTGAGGAGGACAGACTGGGGGGTTCAGACTGCCTCTGCCCATCACTGCTCACCTGGACCACAAGAGGAACCCCCTGCCCTGGTCCCTCAGCGCCTGCCCTCACCCTGCTCCCCATGGTCTGTCTTATTCAAAGCCTCCAGAATAACGTGGCTCTGCTATGTCCACATGCTAATCCCCAAAACCTGTGAATAGGTCCCCTTATATGGCAAAAAGGGACTTTGCAGATGGGATTAGAGATCCTGAGATAGATCATTTTGCATTATCTGGTGGGCCTGAGGTAATCGCAGGGGTCCTTATAAGAGGGAGGCGAGAGGGTCAAAATCGAAGGAGGTGTGACAAGGGTACCGGAAGTTGGAGCGATGCAGGGTCGTGAACCTAGAAATTGCAGTGGCCTCTAGAAGGCAGAAAAGGCAAAGGAACGGAGTGGCCCCTGGAGCCTCCACAGGGAACATGTCTGCCAACAGAGCTTGATTTTAACCTCTTAAGAGCAATTTGGTCCCAAATTGTAAGATAATAAACTTGTGTTGTTTGCAGCTTCTGTGCTAATTTGTCACAGCAGCAGTAGGAAACTAATACAGAAGGTCTTTGCGATGTATTGTCATGTGACAGTGCCCTGCTGGGTCATATTAGACTCTGAGGCAGAAGGAAAAATATGTGCCTCTCGATATATGTTTTATGTAATTTTTGAATGGTTAAATATGGTTAAATGCCCCCAGAAGTAGATATGGAAAATGATATTGCTGGGTTTGCTCCCATTAAATGCAGGAAAGTAAAATTACACTAACTTCCTAATGTTGTGAATTTTAATATTCTGCTTGCAAGGTTCAATATTTTTTCCACGATGTTCTAGAGGAAAAGAGCCATTAGAAAATCTATGCATGTATATATAAAAGAGGTAAAGAAGGGCACACGTTTTTGCTTTTGCTTCAGACTCCAGTATAGTTTGGCAAGGCACAGCAAAAACCTGTCCTGATTTGAAGTTCTAATGTGTTGTTCACCATGAGATTGGTTTCGCCGTTGATTGGGTATTTTAGAATATTGCGTTAAAACGCTATCTTGATTATTGAGGTTTTTTTGCATCCGTCTTAATTTTTGCCCCTAATTCTGGTCTCGGGGAGGGTGCGGGGAAGCAGATTTCACAGAAGTCTGACCCTAAATTCTTGCCATTACCTCCCTCCCCTTATACTATCTCTTTTAAAAAAGGAACGAAAAGACTGATCTGAAATGCTAACTAGTTAGCTCTAGGTTAGGAGATGAAAAGTCATTTTAATTATCTTCTTTCTATGTCTGGCTTTTCCCCCAACCCGCCCCCCAGCACCTAGAGTGCAAACACAATAAAAATCCTTTACAACAAGTTCTTGTAGAAAGTGGTTTGGGACGAACCAATATGGTACGTATCTGTAGGCACTTAGGGATATTTTAAATCAAGATTCCATCTCTGAGACGAACTCATGAAACACTGTCTTCAGATTTTTTAGCAACATTTGTCTTGGGTTGTTTTAATACAAAAGGCGTTGACAAAATTGTAAAGATGTGTGTATGTGAGTGTGTTGGGAGTTTGTTGGACATTCTCTTGTTTTTTAATTCCTTCCAGCTTCCATTGTCTCCCGCAGAGTGATGGGTTTTCAGAAAGAGCGGAAATCATCTCGGCTGACCGCAACCAAGCAATATTCATCTCAGCGCTACAGTGGGACAATTTCTGTTCTGCAGTCTGTTTATGAAACTCCCGGGGAGCAGATTCTCCGCAGGTTTCCGTAGTGTAGCGGTTATCACGTTCGCCTCACACGCGAAAGGTCCCCGGTTCGATCCCGGGCGGAAACACTTACTTTTCTCCTATATATACAATAGCTTTAAAACCTAATTTAAAGTTACACAAATTCTTGTTCTGTGCCCTTTTTTTCTTATTCTTTCTGCCATTTTCAAAATTACTATGGAGTTTTTAAAGTTTTCTCAAAGTAATGGGTGTATTGATTTTACCGAAAAGTTTTACATAGACTGTGAAGGAGAAAAGATCAGCACCAATGCTTGCGTTGGCCGGGAATCGAACCCGGGTCAACTGCTTGGAAGGCAGCTATGCTAACCACTATACCACCAACGCTACACAGCTGTTAGGGGCTTTCCTATATATCTTTAGTAGAAGTATTATCGTTCTGACTGGGTGATACCAAGTTACGTGGGGGTGTCTTTTTTCCTCCTGCGTCCTTCCCGATGCCAGAATACGTCGTCCGTGGGACGTCCCACGCCACTGGCCCGGAGGGCCGTGGGGCCGTGCCAGAGCGCCCCCCCCAGCAACGGGGGCGCCTTGGTGCCGGCCGGGCGGTGGCCAATCCCAGGTCGCCGGCTGGGCCACTCGACTTCCGGGTCAAAGGAGCCTGAGCCGCCCGGTCCCCCGTGTCCGCCAGCGCTGCTGTTCCCCGCGCTCGCCACTTCCGGGGCCGCAGTCCCGGGCATGGAGCCGCGAGAGTGAGGCGCCTCCGGCCCTGGGACGCCCTGCCCAGTCCCGCTGCAGCCCCGAGCCGGCCCCGAGCCCCGGTGAGCAGCGCCCCCGCGCCCCGTCCCGCCTCGGCCGCGACTCTGAACCCGCCGTTGACTGGCCTCCCCGGCTCACTCCTCCCTGGCCTCGCCGTTGGCCGGACTCCCGTTTCCAACAGCTCCCGCCTCGGTTTCCCCTCCGCCCGGCTCCTTCTAACCAGCCCGCCACCTCCGCTGGCCGGGGCGCTTTTAAGCCTCTCCCCGGCCCGGCGTCCACACCCATCCCGTTGCTGCCCAAGCCGCCTGCCTCTGGTCCCTTCTGGGGGTGGCCGCACCCAAGAACTCCCTCCTTCCCTGCAGGTTCTGGAGGTCCCCTCCCCGTGCAAACACATGCCCCCGATATGAGAGCAGAGGCCACCTCCCTGACCCGCATCCTGTCCTCATCCGCTGCACCCCTTCCCAGCGCTTGGTCTCCCGCCACCCACATCCCCTTCTCTCAGCTTCCCGCCGAGGCTTGTCCAGCTCCGGCCCACCTTCCCACACAGCCTTAGACCAGCCTTGACACTTCCCCATCCACGCTGCCGCTGAGCCATCAGAAGTCTCCGTTCCCTTTTCCCCCACCACAGACACCTCGCCCTCCCGCCACGCGCTCCCACGGTGAGGAAGTCACTTGTCTTGACGCAAGAACGAACCTGCTTTCCAGGAGCAGGGACCAAAGCCCAGGAGGTGTGCACTTTGATCACCAATCCCTGTAGTCCCCGTTGGGTCCTGGGGGAGTTGGCCCGGTGGGAGGAATATTCGTCCAGGTGCGTTTGGACAGTGCTACAGGGCGGTGAGGCATCGCTAGAATCTATCCAGGTAGAGAATCAGGCCCCAACAGTCGGGACTCCCAGGTGAAAGGAGAGAGAGTGGGTTAGCCAGTCCTTCCCTTACCCGTCCTTGTTAATGACACATTTACTCTGTCAAGGTCTGTGTCCCACACATGCAGCCGGAATGGAGGCTTTCTGGACCCTTTAGAAGGTCAGTTGTGCTGGTGTGGGGTGGCCAGGAAGGCTGGTGTGTGGGCTTGTAGGGTTCATTTGCCTTCTCTGGGAAATAGACGTCTGCAGGAAGTGGTTTTCTACAACCCTGGGGTTATTTCCCTCTGGGACAGTTGGCAGGGACCCAGACCAATAGCTGCAGCTTCGTGTGCTCTGGCTGGAGACTTTCTTCCCATCCAGTATCCCTCTCCAGCTGTCCCAGTAAGAAGCCCTGGAAAGACTGGTGGAGAAAGAGGAGAGAGTACTGATTGCAGCTGGATTTGGTGGAGGTAGGGCCGCATCCAACCACACCTAACTTAGTGGATGGTGTGGATGCTGGCTCTGAAAGGAACTTTAACCCAGTTCTCCCCTGGGTGTGATTTTCAATAACTTGTTAAGTCAGCAGTGCTGGCTATCGTAGTTTCTGCTATGACAGGTATTTTATTTGTGCAGTCTCATTTAATCTTCACACAAGCCCCAAGCCTAGGGATTGCAGTCTCATTTTATAGTTTGTGAAATGAAAGCACAGAGAGGTTAAAGGGTTCCCTCATGGTCACACAGATCAGAAGTGGTAGAGGCAGGATTTGAACCCCTCTCTCTCTGATTCTAGAGACCACTCCTTTCACTCCTGGACTAAGAGGGAAGCCAGTGCTCTTTTAAAGGGACGTTTTGCTTCACTTCTGTGTGATCTTTTTCCTGTGACCTGTCTGTGCTTGCTTTTCTTTAAGCCTCTGGGCACCTGCCTGCCCATCAGGAAGTTGGTTAGGTGCTAACTAAACCAGAGGTCCTTTTGACTTTAGACAGCATTCAAGCGAGGACAGGGACTCACTCATTGAACCTAAAATGTTGACTGAGTGCTTCCTGGCTCAGGGGGTGCGGCAGGAAGAGGATGGATGTGCGTGCTTGTGGAGCTAACATCCTGGTGGGGAGTATTCACTCCTGAGCAGGGGCTGTGAGTCTCAGCACCTGTGGTTATCTGGCGCCTGATCAGTCTTTGTAGTGGTGCGGGGAGGGTATCCTGCACAGTGTGGGGTGTTTAGCAGCACCCCTGGTCTCCATGCAAATAGCATGCCTCCCAGTCGTGACAACCAAAAATGTCCCTTTGGGGGCAGAATAGGCTTGCTTTTGACCCACTGGGTTAGGGGACCCACTAATCCCAGGAGATTCTGTTCCATCATCATCTATCTTCCTGAGGCCCTAGGATACTGCCCATGTTTAAATACACCTAGTGGGAGGGAGAGGTGACTCAGAGACATGGAGTCACCCTGGTTTGTACCGTCTGACCCATCAGGGACTTACTCTGAGGGCTAGTATGAGGCCGAGGCTCTGACTCACCCCTGTTGAGAGCTTAGCTGTCCTGGAAGGAGTGGTGTGCAGCAGACCAGGTGTTGGATGGGGGCGACAAGGAAGCAACTTTGGACTGGGTGCCAAGAGAGACCCCTGAAGAGGTGATATGGGACCCGAAGGATTAAAGGGAGCATGTCATACGGGAAGCAGGAAAGGGTGTCCCAGGCAGAGGAACTGGCAAGTGCCAGCGCCCTGAGGTGGGAATGAGTCGGTGGGTTTAGGGGAGAGTAAGGCCGGCATGGAGGTCATGGTCAAGGACGAAGGGCGAAGGTGAGATGGGGAAGGCCATCTGAGAGCAGTCCCCGTGGGGAATTTGGGATTATCTGGTTTCTGGCAAGTGCCTGAGGATGATCTGGAGTCATCTGAGACTCCCATCTTCACAGCGACTTCTCCCTTGGGAGAACCAGTCAGCCAGAAATGCTGGCTTCTGGCAAATGCCAGGCACCCTCTCAGGGCAGGGCCTGACCTGCTGCCTCGTTAGCACACCTATGGATTGGGTGTTCCCCTCAGGAAATGGGAGGGGAGAAGGGGCAAGGGCTGGCTGTCCCGGACTGCTGGGAGTTTCAGCCCTGGGGTGTCTCCACCTGCAGGCTCCCCCACCCTCCTGAGGTCAGCCAAGCGGTGAATGCGGAAAGTTAAGAAGCTTCGCCTGGACACTGAGAACACAGGAAGTTGGAGAAGGTAGGGGGCATGGCTTCAGGAGCCCTGATCGGTGGGGGTGTTGCAGAGTTCCTGAGTTCCTGAGAGCTTTCTGTCTGGGGAGACACCTCCCCTGCTCCCCACTGCCGCCCCCTTCATTTCTGCATTTCCCCAGGCACTGTTCTGTGGCATGTGAGGAGGCCGTGTGGGTGTGCAGCTTTCCTCAGCCTCGGGTCTACTGACATCAGGACCGGATTGTTTCCTGGGGGGCTGTTCTGGCCACTGTGGAGGTTGACCAGCCTCCCTGACCCCCATTCACTTCATACCAGGAGCAATCCCAGCTGTGATAATAAGCACAGACGTCCCCTGACACGTCCCCGTTTCCCCCCGGGACAGGATCAGCCCAGCTGAGAACCACAGGCTTCACGGTTGGGATGTAGGTTCTGGGGCTGCAGACTCAGGCTCCCCTCCCCTTCCTCATGGGGTGACATTGGGTGGGCCATTTGACCTCTCTGAGCCCACACTCTCGTCTCCCAAATTGGGGTGACCCCAGAAGTCACCACCCAGGGGTACAGTGAGGATTCAGTGTAATTATGCACGCAAGCCTGTGCGCTGGGTCAGTGTCACATCTGGGGGTCTGGCACAAGGTGAGGAGGCCGTAGGAATCCCTCACCCAGGTGACCGATCTCCTTGTTGGTTTTCTAACACCCTAAGCGAGCGTGAGCAATCCGGGAGGCAGGAACGGACCTGAAGCTGCCTCTGGAAGACACGTGATGTCCGCCCAGTGACTGATTCCCCTGATGCAGGCTTCCCGTGTCTGGGGGCACATGGGTTGGGGGCTGGTTAGCAGTGGGGACCCAAGTCTCCCTTCTCCAGTGCATTAGGTCCTGGGTGGCACAGGCTGAGCTGCACCCAGACTCTCTAAGGCTGGCTGTGATGGTGGAAGGCCTGGATGGTGCCTGGGCAGCCCCCTCGAGGCAGGGGATGGCCCGCTGTTTCACCCAGGACACTGCACTGAGGGCCACTCGGAGGCATGCCTTCCTCCAAAGCGTGGTAGGCCTTCCGCTCCTCGCCTCCCCTTGCCCAGCGCCTTCCCAGCGCCTACCTCCCTTCCTGTCTTGTCACTCTGTGTTCAGCCTGAACTCTCCCAGACTGGCAGCCCACACCGAGAATCCATGGTTTCTTCTTGCATTCTGCCTGCTTGCCTTCCCACAGCCCCTGTGCGGGTCTCCAGCAGATGCCCTGAGGGCCCAGAGCTCGCAGAACTCCCGTCAGGCCTTGTTAATGACCGCTGTTAATGACCCCACAGGCAGTCAAACCCGAGCAGTTGCCAGTGGCGCTCACAGGCTGTGCGGCATGCGACCAATTGGCAGCAGGAAAGTGTAGATGGACCTGGCCTAAGTGGCTTGGAATTCCCTCTCATTTCTCCAGCTGTGTAAACTCTTGACTTGAGAAGCCCAGCAACAGGCTGGCGCTGGGTGGGAACGGCGGCGTCTCCTTCACCTGCTCCTTTGTCCCCGCCTCCCTGGAGCCTCTCTGCTTCTGGGCTGAGTGCAGGGCCTGGGCAGAGCACCAAGCCTCAGCCTGTCTGGGAGCTCAGGCTGCCCAGCCACTTCTAGAACTTTCTCCCAATGTTTCATTTCATTTCTCATCTCCTGGGCCGTATTTTTGCTCCTTGGGCCATCTGCAGCGATCAGAGGCAAGACCGTTTTTATTGTACTTTGCTATGGAAATAGGCCACGTGATTCTGTGAGTGCTTCCACCAGGCTCTGGTTGCTGGGGTCCCCTTTGGGAGCCCTTGAGGCCACTATCCGTTTTTCTGCTGTGAGCAAAAAAACAGTTTGGGGTGGGGGCTGGGCTGGTGGGAGGAGCCCCCCGGCTTGGTTTTCCGGGCTTGCTGCCAGCAGCGCTTGGGGCTTCGTGGGTTGTGGCGCGCTCAGCCAGCCAGCCCGGCCCCTACCGCCCTGCAGGTAAACCGCAGCTCTGCAGTGGGCAGGTCGTGCTGTGTGTGACCCTCAGCAAGTCTCCAGCCCTCTCCAGGGTTTATTTGACCTGAGGGCCCCGAAAGCTCTGAGGGCCCCATAGGATGTGCTGTGGTCGGTGTCATCAAAACCACTGTGGGAGGAGCTGGACAGACTGCTCCTTGTGGCCGGGGGCAGGACATGCTGGCCCGCTGTGTCCCCTGAGCCACTGCCGGCCATTCAAGTAGATCTACTGAGAAGGGCCATTTCTCCCTGTCATTTGTTCCGGGGTCAGTTGGAAATCAGCCCATGGAGGCGGTGCTCAGAAGCCATCAGTGCCTTTCTGGCATCCTTTCCCCCGTCTCGAAGCAGGCAGGGGCCCTTCCTCCTACAGTGGCCACACCGTGGGGTCTCTTGTGAGAAAGGGGCAAGGCTGTCTGGGAATTGGGAGGCACCTGGGAAAAAGGGTGCCCGGCTCTGCCTGTTAGTTCTCTAAAGCCTTTGGCCCACACTGTGCCGGCCTTGGGTGCAGCCCCAACTTCCGGTAAACAAACACTGACATCCCCCTGGAAAGCCAGGTGGTCCCAGGAGTCCCAGCGTCCCCAGGGCCTCTGGCTGGGTGGTGCCCAGGGAGGAAAGCGAGGCCGCCCTGCTTCCTTCAGCCGGACTCACTAGATGGCTTCAGCTCTTCCAGAACCGGGTCACCGTGGCCATGTTTAGATTTCCCTAAAGCAAATATTTGCCTGGCTGGTCCAGTCTGTTCAAGAAGTGTGCTCAGCAGCGAGGGCGGGGAGGGGCGGGAGGAGGCTGTGGGCCGTCCTCTGAGGGGAGGGCATGTGCCCCTGTCACCCTCCGGCTGTGCTGCCTTTTCGCCTGAGCACCTCCGGTGAGGCACAAGGGCTTCCCTTGCTGGGCAAGGGCGCCGAGGTTCGGTGCTCAGTTAAATTCATTGTACTCAGTTCTTTGCCTGTGAGCGACTATGACTCCCAGAAGGCGTAGTACCAGAGATCCCGCGGCCCTCCGTGGGACCCCTGCTGTGTGCCAGGGGCCACATGTAGCTCTGGGGACACCACCGTGGCAGGTCAGGCAGTCAGTGAACCACCATTGTGACGAACACTCTGAGGGCGGCCGCAACGAGGTGGCGTGTGAGGGACGAAGAGGGAGACCATCTTTAGTACGGATGGTTAAGGAAGGCATCCGAGGGCCTGACAGGCATTTACACTAAGAGCTCACCTACGAAGTTAGTCAAGCAGAGAGCAGAAAAAAGGGTTCCAGGAGGAGGAACAACACATGCAAAGGCCCTGGGGTATAAAGGATGCTGGCCTGTTCGAGGAGCCAGGAGAAGGTCAGTTTGGCTGGAGAACTGATGAAAGGGGGAGGCCTGGCAGAGGTCAGAAAGCCTTGAAGGCTGTCCAGAGACCTGGTGTTTACCCAGGGGGCTATGGAAAACCAAGGGAGGGTGTTCAGGGTTTCAGTTAAGGGATCAGATTCGCAGCGGTGTGCAGAGTCCTCTCGGGAGACAGTTGTAGTCACTCAGCAGAGGGGATGGTGGCGTGGATGTCCCAAGCCTTCGTGGTGTTGGAGGGAGTGAAACAGCTGAAGAAATACGTAGGCAGATGGGGAAAGCTGCACGGGGGCCAGGCTGGTCTGGAGGGGTGGGAGTACATGCGGAGCGGCAGCTTGTAGGTGGGCCTGGGGCCCCAGCCCCCTTCTCATCCTCTCCCTTCCCCTCATAGCTTCTCACTGAATTCTGAAGGGGCGGAGAGGATGGCCACTGGGGCGCCAGCATCCGGCCGGGGCACTGCGGTGGAGGTGGAGGACCCCGCGGCCCGCTTCCAGGTGCAGAAGCGCTCCTGGGACGAGCTTCGGGACGTCATCCACAGCAGCCGCAAGAACTCGGGCCTTGTCGTCAACAAGGCGCCGCACGACTTCCAGTTTGTGCAGAAGACGGACGAGTCCGGCCCCCACTCCCACCGCCTCTACTACCTCGGTAAGCCCTCCAGGCAGCCTTGGGCCCGGGAGGCTGCCCTTGGCCAGGGCGGTGTTTCCTGGATGACGGCTGCTCCGAAGTCCTGTGGTCCTGTTAGCTAGGAGGTCCGAACAGACGGGCCTGGCCCTGGGCAAACTGTCCCACGACGCTGTGCCGCCCATGGTGACATCTCGTCGCTCTGATGGTGCAGGGGTCCCACAAGGGGGTTGGGTGCTGGTGAGCAGAGCAGGGGCGGTCCCATCCCGGCTCTTGGGGCAGCCACATGGTTTGGGTCCCGTACGTGGGTGGGCCAGGGCCCCTGCGATTGTTTGCCATCCCGGGTCAGCTAGGCTCACCGCCTGAGTCACTTCCCAGGCACCTGGACTGGGTGGGGCTGGGCCAGTGAGCAACAGGACGCCCCCAGCAGGGGGAGGCGCAAGTAACTCCATCAGGTGCTCGCTGTGGGCGGATGTGTTAAGAAGGATCCTGAGGCTCAAGGGAAGGGAAGGTGCCATGATTGCATAACCACGTGCTTGGGATTACCGGAGACGTGCTGTCTCTGCCCTAGATAGCCGGGGTGAGCTTGTTAATTGCTAGTCACTTTCTCCTGTGGGCCTGTGCCTCACTTTCTCTGTCACTTGCAGTTTACCACCTGAGGGCCTGCAGGGCACTGATGAGTATCTTGTGTGCTGGTAGCCTCAGCCTCCTGGCCAGGGCCTGGCTTCTGGTCAGAGGACAGTAAATGTCTGTCAGGCAGGTGAGCGTTGCCCTACTTTGCCTAAGGGTCTCACCAGGCAAGAAGGAACAGTTCCAAACGTGTTCCTTTGAAAGCAGCCTGACATATGGCTGTTGACCTGGGACAGGAGCTCAGCTACAACACTGGACATTTTGGGGCTGGTTCGCCGTCCGTGCACCCTCAGCCCTAGGGGCAGTGCCTGCAGACGAGCAGGTGTCAGTCAACACCCTCTACCTGAGGCTGACCCCATCCCGGCGACCTGACAGTGACTGAGATGGATGCCAGATGGCTGTCCCCTGCCCACAGGTGGCACAGCCTCTCTTCATGGAGACCCACGTGGAAACCAGAGGGCAGCTTGGCAGCACAGCAGTAGAGCCGGGAATGGCCTAGAACAGGGGTGGGCAAGTGAAGGCCGTCTTGTGCTTGGAAACCTGGTTTCATTGGCGCCCAGCCACGCCTGGGCCTTCCCCTACCTTCTGTGGCTGCTGTGAGTGTGGGTGCCAGAGGTCACCTGGTGCACAAAGCCGAAAATACGCACAGTCTGGCCCTTTGCAGGAGGACGTTTGCCAGCTCCGGCCTCGGGGAGATCAGGACAGGCAGGCTTCAGGTTTCACTGACCCAAGATGGAGTTGGTTGTGGGAACTGAGAGTGGCCAAGACGTGTGGCCTCTGGTGGCCTTTGCCTCTCCTTCCCCGGAGGGTCCACGACCTCGTGAGCCTTTTCTCCCGACACAGTTGCCCACCGTTCACTTGCCCGAGTTCAGGTTGCCGTCCTGGTCAAGGCCCTCATGGGCGTCTGCTGGGACACGTCGCCACGGCCTCAACAACAGACGTTTATTCTCCCGGTTCAGACACCAGGAGTCCCGAAAACTGTGTGACACCAGGAGTGAGCAGGGCCACGCTGTGCTCCCTGGAAGGCCCGAGGGAGAATCTGGTCCTGCCTCTTCCCGCTCCTGGTGGCGTGGCTGCTGGTGTTCCTCCGCTTGTGGCCACATCACTGCAGTCTTGGCCTCCCTGGTCCCCTGGGCCTCCTCGGTGTGGCTGAGGTCTCTCTCTGTCTCCCTTACAAGGACACGTGATGACACTTAGGGCCCACCTGGTTCATCCAGGCTGATCCCCCAGCCCGAGGTCTTCAGCTCCGTCCCGTTCTAGAAAGTCCCTCTTGCTAAGGAAGGCACCCGGTCACAGGTCCTGGGGATTAGGACGCAGACCTCTTCAGGAGCCGTTGTTCAGCCAGCCACAGAGCTGCCGGAAGACAGAAACCCTCCACCCCAGGTCAGCCACCGAGGACACCTCGTAGTAAGGACCCAGGGGCATGTCTGAGAGCCCCTGGGGGCCTCGTGACATGGTGCTGAGAATGTGGAGCCTGCCATGTGCTCTGGACATACTCCTCTCTTGGGTCCACCTCGTTGCCCACCTGCCTCCTGCTGCTGGGCTCCTGGGGCTCATGCCTGGGGTTCCAGACGCCAGTAGAAACAGACAAGCTTTCTCTGCAGGAGAGGGAATTGAATTGGTTCAGCATAGGTCAGATGTCCAGGTGGCTATGGCCTGTGCACAGTTGGGCTGGGGAGGGTGGTCCCCGCGGTCCACAGGATGCTGCCGAGGGCCCACCCCAGTGGGTAGTGGGCCGCACCGGACAAAAGCTGTGGACCTGGCTGACTCCAAAGCATGCCTAGGGCAGCCCAGAGGCCCACCAGCAGTCAGGGTGACTTTGTGCCCACTTCCCCG